GAAGATCTTTAATTGAAAAATTGTAATTGAATTATTTATTCGATAAAGGGATTTGCCTTATCATCCAAAATAATCATGAATGCAATAAAATTATAAGTTGAAAGATCCTCTCAAAATACAAAAGGGCTATATAAATTTAGAATTAAATTTTATATCCCTATTTTCATTAATAGGATAACACCAAAATAAAAAAAATAATTTTTAGATAATGAATATATTTAAGGAACATTCAAATTTTAATTTCAATGATGAATTTAAAATTGGATAAACTTCTATTAATGCTGTCAAACAAAAATTTGTTAAAAAAGTATACCATGTTTCTTGAAGAATTACTTTAATATTTTATAACATACAAATAATCCTAATTTGGATTAATTATGGGATATTTTTGATAAAATAGATGGACTGGCTGATGTAGAGGGAAAATCTATCCCTCAAACATGCAGGAAGGTGTACAAGATCAGTTTCCTATTTATTCCAGAATTTGAATTCAGTTTTGGTTCTAATCTGTCAGTACTTACAAAATTTCTGGAAGTTTTCTATTGTACGATTATAATACTTTCTGAATCATCCAAAATATCTCACTCCTTACTAGGGAGCCTGATATTTTGTTATAAAGTACCATTTTATATATTCTAGTTAATGATATTCAAATATTTAAGTTCCAGAGAATAACTTTTAACTTTTCATTCTTATATAAATTGAAATATAATGATAGACAAAGATGACTTTATTTTAAAGGAGATGAAGAATATTTAATGCTGGACAAATAGAAGAGGACAAAAATATAGGAGAAAAGTATTTATTCATTTTCTCATGCCGAAATAAAAATCAGCTCTAGTATGATATATGTTTACTTACAAAATATTAAGTGCCCCATTGATAATGAATATAAAAATAGAAGGTTATAATTCTCTTTAAGCTTCCTCTTAAAAAGTTATCCTCATTTATCTACACTTCTATAATTTATTTATATGCCTAATTTTTGTTGATCAATATAGTATTTGGGATCAAAAGGTCAAGATTTTCTTTTCAAGGATAATTTATATATTAAAATAATGACACAGTAATTGGTATTAACTCTATTATATATATTAGAATGCATTTTCTTCTGAAGTATTCCTTTTTTTAATATCTAATAGAATGCTTCAATTCATTTAATTTTATTAACACTCTAAAGGAAGCTCAACATCTTCATATAAGTAAATTCTAATCTCCTGACGCAACATACAGATAGTTCTTAATTACGTCTACCTAATATCTGATAAAGGATGAGAATTTCTTTGCCATGAATTGAATAATTTGCCTATCTATCTATTTCCTATTCTTTAATTCATCTATCAATAAAATATTTGGTTGCTATAGACAAGTTCTAATTTCATTATTCATTTTTTTCTAGTATGCATGGTTGTCCCAATAAACAGAATTGTATATTTAGTGGAAGTTTCCTATTAAATTTATTAATCAATATGATCTATTTGTAAATTGAGCTAGGTTTTATTTCATATCCTTTATCATTACAAATTTTTAATATATTTGATGTCTGTTAATTTTTGTAGAACTATTTTTCTCTTAAAAAGTACTATTTAAAGCATCGGAAATATTTTAATTTTATGGATTGAGTTCAAATATTGATATATTCTCATTTCTCTTTAGATACATTCTTCAGTTTAGCAGAAGACATCCATTAAATCATTATTTATTTCTTCTTATTTGATAATATAAGATGTGTCTTCCCTTTTATATTCTTAATGTATAGTTCCAAATATTAGTTTCAACATAATTCGGCAATTCCTGCATTAGAAAAGATAAGTCTAATTTAATTTTTTAAAAGTAGTATGTGATATGGTATTCTAATGACCAACAAGTGAGGATTAATCTTAATTGGGGTTTCTGATGGTTAGGACTTTTAAGGTTTTACAATCATATATCAATTTAATAGTTTCTAAGATTCATCAGTGATTTTTGAGATTTTTTTTTTATTCTAAGTGAAAATCAACTGTTTTTTTTTTTTCATTTTTAGAAATTTTGTAAATCATTACTTTAAAATTGTCTCTTTGGTCAAATTCAGATTACATAAGGAACAAATTTTACTGCTTATATTTTCATTTCTAGATAAACTTAAATTGTATAAGAGGATGATAGTATGTAACTCTAAAGGAAGACGAGCTTAGCAAGAGAGAACTATGACTCAATTTTTATATCAAATAAAGACACTAGCGAAAATTTGAAGTGAGAGTGTAATTAATTCCTACCTTTCCAGCACTTTCTAATATTAAGATGCTAGGGACTTTTCATAGTAAAAGGATTTTTGGTTAGTAATACTATATCAATTAAGCTTTTGTGAGAATATTAAAATCAAAATAAAAGGAAACGGATATTTTAGTGACAACAGAATATCTTATACAGAGGATAATGATAGATTTATTCAAAATTTGCATTTTTCAACATATTTTAATCTATTTTAATGGGATGACTGTGATTTCAATTTTCATATTACATTAATCTTTTATATATTTTATATAGATTTGAATTTAATTTCTCCATCTCTATCTCGTTATTATGTTTATTTTAGCTTAGCAAATTTTGCTTTTAATAAATATTTCATCTGGCAATATACATAAAATAGAATTACAACTTGCTTGTATTTTTTCCATTCTATTTTATTTCTTGCTGATGATAATAAATAATAGATTTATTTCTACATATCTTATATATTCTCTTAATTTTATTCTCACAACTACTATATGATCTATATAAGCTCTTTTTTCACTCTATTATTATACTCCCTATAATTTTCCATACATTTCCATAAATCTTGTAAATTCCATAATCATTTATTCCCCTAATCCTAATAATATAAATTTTATTTTGGAATTTTCCCTCTTTGCTTTCTTTCAAAAGGAGTTGTCTCTAAAATTTTTCCAAATAATGCATATTCTTCATCTATAAAATTTATTTTAATCCTGATTTCTGATTAAATTTTCCTACACAAATTTCGAGGAGATCGTCCTTAATATTACCTTCATCTTAGATCCGATTATTAGGCAAATTTTCATCTAATTACCTTCCAAAATTCTTCAAAATTTTTATAATATTTTCTAATATTTAAAATATTCTGCTTTGTTTACTCTTAATAGTTAGTCCTTCATTTTGGAGCTGGGAGAAAAAGTTTTTTCTTCTTGGAAACCAACAGATTCACTTCTACTTCTCTTGAAACCTAATAGTTTTTAGCAAAGTGCACATTATCAGAATATACATTCTTAGGTTTATCCTTTTGATTATCTTGTTCTTTTTGGAATACCTTTCTTTATTTTCCTAATCTCCTTTTTAGCTATTTATTTAAATCATCATAATATATATGAACTAAAATTGTTTCATGAAAAGTATTAAAAGAAATTTAACAAATTATAGAAATTTTTTTTAAAGGCTAAAAAATATTTAAAAGCCGAATAGAAATTTATAAAAGGTAAATTAATCTATTTTGAATAATTTTAATCATTCAGACTTTTAATATTTGATTTTCCAGGCAATTAAATATTTCTAAATTTAAGAAGTTCTTAACTCCTTTTTTGCTAAAAATAATAATTTGTTATAGATTACCATAAAAGAATAATTACGCTTTATTTATTGATCACTAATTATTTACTGTTTGTTAAATTATTCTTATTTAATATGCCCAATAGATTTGATTAGAATCAATATCTACATCTATTGCTCTTAATTTATTATTAGTATAAACTGCTTCTTTCTCCAACCATCGAGTTAATAATTGTTTAACACTATTTTGAACAATTTATTAAATCATTTCTTGTCATAACTTGAATCACTCTCTGAGTCAGTCCTTTATTCTCTATTCAAAATTTGATTGTCTATTTTACTACCATCTTTATATAATTATAGAGTTCTAAGCCATATTTTCTTAATTTCTTTTAGTTAAAATTTCAATTTACTTTTGACTACTATCAATAAAAATAGATGAAAAATTATTATTCTTATTTTTTCTTTATTTGGAATTTTGGATTTAATTGAGATTTAAGTAAATATTTATTATTAGATTTTTTAAATCTAAATAAAAATAAATAATTTTTGACTTTTATATTTAATATAATAATTATCTCATTGTTCTTTGAATTTCCTTATTTATATTTGATATGATGTTTAATCCCAAGTAATTAAATATTCTCCATCATCACTCAATTATCCAAATATATCATTTGTTCCAAATCGAATAGATTACTCAACTTTTAATTCAGCATTTTCTGTAAATCTTATTAAATGTACATATTTATCATGCTTATTAACAACTAATTATTTTTATTTAATAAATTATTATGGAAATAATAAACAACTATCATTTCCTTGATTTATTCTAATATCTTTTGATTTAGTGAACTATTTACTTACACTATTCATTTCATAAACATACATCAAATTCCCATTTACAGGTTAATATGTGAATAGATTATCGTTGATAAAGCATAATCGATATCCTATACAATCAACTTGTATTTTTTGTTTTACAATCCAATTTTTATTAGTTTCTGATTATTCTATTACTAATATCAATCCATCATATCCACAAGATATAACTTGATTTTGTTATTCATTTAAACTTAATTGATTGACCCAACCACTATGATCTGTAATAGTTTATTAATAAATCCATTCATTCTTTTTAACCCAAAACTTAATAGTCTTATCAGCACTACTGGATATAAAAAGATCTTCATTATTATTTAAAATTATGCATCTAATCCAATCATTATGACCATCGATAGTTTATGAGCAAATCCATGAATTATTATTATATTACCAAATCAAAATATATCCTTAATCTCCAGAAATCAATTAATTTGATTATTTCACAAAATTTAAAGTGACCACTTCTCTTTAATGTTCATTTAAAACTTGATTTAATTTCAACATTCCTTGTTGGAATTCATAAATTTTAATTAGTTTATTACAACCAGCCGCTACGATCGAAAAATCTTTATTAATAGATATTGCCCAACAAGATTCTTATTATTTAATAGAATTAGCTTCAATTATTTCATAACTAAATGGTTTAAAATTGACTTATGATGTAGATTTCATTTCATTTTGTAATTAGATATATAATTATGATTATTATGAATTTATTAAAATTTATTAATATTTTTGTTCTTGTTATGATAAAATTTGAACTTGATCTTTGATTTTAGATTTGATTAATGATTTTACTTATTCAAAGAAATTAGATAAATATTCTGATTATTCCATTAAATGGAACTAATCAACTTTTGGTAATTTTATATCTGTTTTTGTATTATTAATCTTAGAAATTGGAGAATCAATAATGAATACCTAATCTATGAAATTTATGATCTTGTCAAATGATTACTAAAATATTCTAATAATAAGTTAATACATCTAAATGCATTTCTATTTCTTACATGTGCTATTCTAATTTTCTACTTACTACTTAATCTCTTGACATTCTTTCTAATTCGATGAAATTTTATAAAAATAAATATATATTATATTAAATTTAAATAATTAATATAATAATAATATTTTTTAATTTATTAGAAGGCTTATCCCTAAGAAGTAACCAAATTGTAGAAAACCAATCATATTGAATGAGATATTTACCAACAAAGTTTATTGTAGAGATGATTATAAAAAAATTATAATACAAAATAAGTAGAAATCAAAGCATGAACTTTCCTCAATTTTTGACAATATTTTAGATTTTATTAAATTATAAAACAATCTATTATTGTTAATATTCAACTAAAACTACAACTATCACTTTACTACCTATAAGTATTAATTTTAGTCTAAAATTTTTATAATAATTTATGCATATTATTAATAATAATACTAGATACACAATTGCTATTCTTTCAGAATATTAAAATCATTTACTTAAACTAAATCTATCAAAATTGTTTTAATAATAATTATTAAAATACTTATTATTTTAAGCTAAGTGATTTTTAAATAAAAAGATTGATCTCTTCATTTGATAATTAATTTTTTAACATTATTTTAGTTCAATAATAAAGAATTAGAACATAATCTTTTTCTGAGAATATTTTTTTATATTTTTGATAAAAGTAGATTCGAAAAGAACTCTTTTCTTAAATAATATTTGGTAGGAACTGAAATAAATCGAAGAATAGATAAAACTTGATTCCTTGAAAAATTTGAATCATGATCTGCTCTCAGTCTGATTCTTATTTATTATGCATCAAATAGTCTTGGAGGTATTCTATCGTAATTTGTTTTATATATCAAATTTTTGAGGTACCTGAAATTGGATAATATCCATCAATAAAAATAAATTATTGATTTTTTAATTTTATATTATTAGTCACTAAACATTTTACACAACTGCTTGAACTTAAAAATTAATTACATTCAATTGGGCAATCAAAACATTGATATGAATCTTCATCTTGATTAAGTTTGTCATCCTAAATTAGGTTTAGTTTAAGTAGATTAGCATGTTTTACAATCTATTTTAGATGCACAAGTTAAACAAGATAATGGGCAATCCAAACATCTATAAGAATCATTATCATAATATTAGTTAATTAAACACTCTTCTTATGAAAATTTAATAAAATTTGCATCATAATTGCTACTCCATTAAGTACATGTGGTTTCATTTAAGCATTACAAACAATTAGGTTAACATTTATGAACAGCTACATAATAATTATAAAATCCACAATAAGCTGTAGTTGGTTCATTATTTGGTCCAAAAAATTCCCAAATTATTGTTAATATTATGATTTATTCATATACCTTAGTGTATTTTTCTCCATTAGAATATGAAAAATTATTACTTTATTATGTTATTTCTTAATTATTATTTTAGATATTTACAATTGAATAAGCGAACTAATTAGTGGGTTCTATGAAATCTCTTTATACAGGATTAATTCTAAAAGGATATTATCTTCCCAAATTCTAATCAGCCTTTATTACTAGTGAATATTTACCTTTAGTTACTTTAAATAAAGTAATAGTGGTAAAAGTAATTGATATTAAATTTGCTTACCTTGTTAAAAGAGCTACGAAGCTCGATTTATATAGAGAATTTCATTAAATAATAGGGTAAGAGATTGAAATAAGGATCACATCACAAGGGTTGCTAGATAGATAATGGCTAATTAATACTCTCTTTTATGTATCACCAAAATATACCTATTTTCAATTTATTTAAGGGTTTAAATTATTCTGATTTCTAGTAATCATTTTTGAAGTAATAATTTAGAAAATCAAAGGAACTAAATACATCTCAAAAGATAATGATTATTTAAAACATAAGCTGAATAGAAAAATAAAGACAACCCAACTAAATTAAACATAAAAATTAATAAACTAAAGACATAGTAAGAAGAAGAAATGAAAAAGCAGACTGGAGAAATTGAAAAAAGAATTAGTAGAAATTTAATTGAATCAGAACTTAAGTTTAAATCAAAACCAAAGTTAGTAGAGATTTATGAAACATTTTGAATTGCAAGAGGAAAGTTAAACTTCATGATAACGTATTTTTATTGTATTTACCAATACATAAGTTTTACTAGATTGATTAACCTCAAAAAATGAAGCATCTTATTTTAGGGGAAAATAAATTGATTATTCAAAAATATTAGGTAATAAAATAATAATTGTTTTATTTTTATATTTTGAAAAATATGAATTAAAAAACCAACAAATTGAATATAAATTGACTTATAAATTAGAGTGTATTTTATTTATATATATAAGTATAATACAACTTAAAGAATGAAAAATTTTAGACGCATAACTAAAGAAGAAATTGGAGAATTATATATATATAATTTTGTTATCTTAAAAAGTAGTGAATTTATCAACTTAGTTATTTAGATAGAGTTTAAATGAAGAATACATACTGTAAATAAATATACAAGTAAAAGCATGTTGATTAAGAATATTCTACCTCACATGAGTTCTTTTTTACTAGACTACTATCAGAGTTATGTTCTAATATAGGTTTTTCGGGAATTTTGGAAGAAACCACAAAAAAAATGATAATGAAAATATAATATAATATTTTCGAGGCAAATCCATTAAATAGATCAGTAAGGGTTAACACTAAGTTAACAATAAGTATTAATAATGTCTATAAAACCATAAAACCTTTAGGATAATGTAGATAGAAATTGAAATGACTTCTAATCAAAATATAGTTAATCTAATGGTTTATAGTAAATCATAATGAAAAGAATATATTTAATTACTATATTAGAAAACAAGTTAAATTACGAATAACTAGAACTATAATTTATATAATTAACTTTTCTAATTTCAAAATCATTCTCAAATTTTCTTTAATTTTAACGTGATCTTCAAATTAATAATCTTGATAGGTAATCAGTTAATTTAAATTTCATCATTTTATTGTTATGAACATTTTTGAAAATTAAAACTTTAGGATGTTATTCAGCTATTAATCTTAATTAAAGGAATCAGTCCTTGTGTAAATTAGATTTAGGGTAAATATTCTAATTTTATTTTAGTTTGAGATCCTTTTAAATGGAAATAATATTTATTAATTTATCATTGTTTCATTACATTTTTCTTTATTTTTGTTATATCTAATTTAAGTTACACTAAATTGAAATACAAAAAGTAAAACGCCATCAGAAATTTTCATAAAATATTTAACTAAATTAATGCTTAATTGTTATTTTTAATATCATAATACACTATAAATATCCTATAATCCTTATTTTTATATATATTAAAAATGATAGAATTAGAATGGAATATATAATTTTGACATATAAAGGTTGGTTAAATGATACATAATTACATTAATTAATTTAAATAACAAACATGAATATCTTAAATCAATAATAATTGCAGAATACATAAGAAACAATATGTAAAATTCATAATCTAGAATTGATTGCTGTTGATTTAGATTTATCAGATAAAGCACAGATTTAATTCTTTTGTGGTAAATGCTTAGTTGAGAAAATGAATAACAACAAAGTGACGACTATTGAATAATCAAAAGAGAGAATCTAAATAGTAAAGGCTTAATAAAGAGATATCAAAACTAAAGAGAATCAAGCAAGACTTAGCTATTATAAAAATATATTAGATTAAATAATGGATTTTAAATAATCAATAAATGATTCTTTGGAGAAGATGTACAAATAAATATAATAATATATATTTCCAATTTAAAAAGAAAAATTAGAATTATAAGAATGTGAATAATAATTAAATTACTTTGAAGATATAAAATAATTGTCTGAATTATATTCTTAAGAGTAATAGCAATCACCTAAATTAATAGAGGATAATCATTTTATTAATGAATTATAAAGATAATTTGAACTATTATTGAATAGTTCTGAATACTTTTAGACATTAGATACATTTAAAAATACAAAGGAAACAATTAAAGATATAATGGAAAATAATGTTATTGAATTAATTCCTTAATTTATCAAAAAAAACAATTATGTATATTATATTTATTATTTATAGAAAACACCAAGTTTAAGTAGAATTTGCAGTAAGCATAAAAAGGAAATTATAATGATTGATATGGATTCATCAACTAGTAAAATTGAAGATAGATTTGTATGCGTTGACTGTATTTCTGAGAATCCATAAATAAAATATGAAACTATAGAAAATGTGGATAAGTAATGGTAGGAATACAACACTGAAACTGAAAGAATATTAAAAGAATACAAAAATGAAAGCAAAGAAAAAAAGTCTGAATTATTTAATTAATTAGCTCATATGAGAAAGAATTATAATAAGAAATTGAATGAAATAAATGATAAATTGATTGCAGAATAATTCTTATCCATTGATAAGACTAAACAATCAAACTAAATAAAAAAGATTTCAATTTAAGCATTAAGTGATGAATAATTATTAAAAGATTTGAAGCAATTAATTCAAAAAGAAAAAGAAAAAGTATCATAAAGTTAAATAATTATAAATTAAAAAAATAAGGATTAAATTTTCAAAAAGGATATTTAGTACCAATTGGAATCTTTGCAATAATATGACTAATAGGATATTTAATAATCTTTAGATATACTAAAGGATATTTCAAGTATCAAATTATATAATTTTATTTAGTTGAAAAAAAATTAATTAACTAATTGATTGATATGATCTAAGAAATGTAAAAATGTGCCTAAAAGGATGAAAACTATACAAACCAAATTAATCTTAACAAAGAAATTTAAGAATTGATTGATTAGGCTAAAAAATATCAATCCCAATTAAATATATTTGATTAAACTATTACCATTTATTAATAACATGTTTAGAAGATAGAATAAATTTAATAAAATATATAGATAAAAACTTAAGATTAAACAATTAAATCAGAATATTTAAAGTCTTAATATTCTAAATTATTAAATATTTTGAATGAATATTCAAATACATTTGATAATAATAGCATATTATTGAAAAAATATTGTACCATTAAATAGTTGGAGAATGATATAATAACATTAAAGGAAGCAAATAACAAATTAGAAATTGAGAGTAATGCTTTATAATATTAAATAGAAAATAATTTTATTAATTCTAAGGAATAGCAATTTGAGTAGTATCTCAAAGAGCTAAATGGAAAGTTATAGTCGAAATTTCATTTTATTTAGGCAATTATTAAATCAGGAGAACCCATATAATAATGAAAACAAGTTAATCTTATTAAACATATCATCTTCTATTTTTAATTAATTTGACAACAATTCAAATTAATTACCCAAAAAATACAAAGAAAATTTATGATATTGAAATCTGCTTTAATTATTTTACAAAAAAATTGTGTCATGTCAGTTCCAATTATTGTAAGAGAAGTCCATCCCCTAGTTATATAAATCATCATTGTGCATAAATGAATTCTTCTAATCCAAAACTATTGGAAATGAATATGAAGGGTGAATAAAGAACTTTAAAAAAAATATAATTCAAAGAAGACTAGGAGGGAAGATAATAGATTATGATTAGACGCATACTGAGGTAAAAAATTTTTTCATCAACTGAAAATGGATTGAAATTATAAAAAATCTAAAGGCATCTTCATTAGCAATTCAGTAAAGAAGTGAATTAATTTTTTTTTTAAAGATTAAAAATCTAATATAAATTTATCGCAATGTACAGTTAGACAATAACTGAACTTGAATAGTATAATGGGAACTATTAGTGATAAATTTAATTCTCTTATGACTAGTTTTAGAAGTTCCAATATAGAATGTAGGTGGTCTTCAATAAAAAAGTAATAAATTAGAAGTTACAAGGTTGTTTAAATCATATCTGATTAAATAATCCTTAAATGAAACTACTTGAAAGACCAAGACCAGAATACTAAAATATAGTTAGAAGTGCTGAAAAGAAAATAATATATATAAATAACATAAAGAGAGAAATACAGACGATTAGGGTTGAAAAAGAGTCAAAAAAAATTCTGATATGTCTTTAGAGAAGATAGAAATGACTTGGATGAGTCCGGGGCTCTTTTTATTAAAAAAAAGATTGAGGCGAGAATGAAAAGTAAGACTATAGGAGAAAATTGATAGAAAAAGCGTTTAAAGATTGAAGGATATAATATCATAGAGGCAAAGCTATTAATTATGTGAGTTTATAAAAAGGTTGGAAATAATATTATAAGAGAATTTCTTTAGACAAGAATCTAATTTGATTGGAAATTTTCTTACTTATGAATTAAAAAATGGATATTTGAAAGAAGTGAAAAAATAAGGAAAGTATAGTTTGGTAACATAGCAAATCCTCAATACAGACTATTAAGAGATTGCAACAGATTAAATAGGGAAGACATTAGTTTGAAACAGAATAAGAAGATTTTTATGCGTTATATTCTATTAAGTACTGAACTGAGATGACTCAAATCTCTAATGGTACAATGAAGCAAATTCATATGATTTCACTCACCTTACTGAAGTTAGACTTATCATGAATATTACAATCGATACTTTTTAACAGAGATTGATAACATTAAATAACAATTCACCCAACATTGCCAAAATCGTAAACTTTCAACCAAAAACGATTTAGAATCCCCTTGTCAAAATTTATAGAATGGGGCCATGATGTCAAATTCAAAGAAATTCTGATGAAAAGAATCATAATAATTAGGTCTGATTTGCTCAAAATTTAGGGACTCTATTTTCTAAATAACTACTGGAGTTAAAGAAAAAGAATAAGTAATCAACAGGATAAACTCTAAATATTTGACCCTTTTACAAAGCAAAAAATAGATTTAAAATGGCCTGGCATAAGGATCAGTACTGATTCCATTTTTGTTTGGCATATTCTTTCACTACTCTTCATACACTTTTCATGAAGATCTTAAGGAATACAAAATGAAACTAGATACGAGATTTGCTCCAAAGAAAAGAACTTTGACAAAGTTTAATACTAGCTTATGTTGATGATGCACCTATATTGGCTAACTAAGAAATAATTGGGATTTGCACTAATCTCTTCATAAAGACAAACATAAAAGAATCTTAATGTCAACATTAAGAAAACCAAATACATAGCTAAGATAAGCAATCCACCCCTCGAAAAGGTTGGCATAGAAAAGTTGGATACTTTTAAATACTTTGGTATTAGAATCATTATCAGATGAAACATAACAGAACAATAAAAACATATAGGTAAGGCAGATTTGAGAAGGGCCAAGCAGCTGTCTTATATTAGAAATATAATTCCATTCTAAATGCTAAAAAAATATGATTCTATTGTTATTTCTATTGATCAGGTATAACAGCCTAGCAGTATGGTTTCAAAGAAGAGCCAAATCAAATTTTGGCAAACTTTGAAAGGCAATTCCTTTAGATATGCTATGGGCCTAAAGAACTATTATCCAAAAGAGATAATAGATAAGACAATCTATCTAGGCCGACTTTTAAGAGGGAAAATAAATTAGAAAATATAACTGGAAATTTTCAGGCAATTCATCTATATAAGTAGTAAGGGAAGAACATGGATCATACTAAAAAATGAAATTAATAATTTATTACTTTAAATTTTTAAATAACTAAAAAGTATGATGAAAGAATGCACACAGAAGTAATGAACCAAAGGGGAAATAAACTTAAATTAATTCATATAACTGAACTCAAAATTCATGTGAAAGCAACTTGCATGCATTAATAAATTAATGAATTATTACAAAAGAAAACAAAGCTAGATATGTTTGAATAAGAAAAGTAAAGGGAATAACACCACAACATGAACATGTAGAAAGTTCAAAGAAGAATCCAACTATCTGAAAATAAGGCATATCCCAGGATATGCTTACTTCGATTTAAGGAAACGTAGATGGAGAAAATGCAGAGAGCATAATAGTAACATTATCCTGGATCATATTAAAGAGCATTTAGCACCATCCCCCTAAGACTGATGTGAGATAATTGACAAGATCATTTTTAAGTGAAAGACCACAAAAATGAAATTTTACAAAAAGATTGAAAAGAGTTTGATTGAACAAATGAAACAAATTTTAGATATATTAAAACGGTTGATTGAGTTATAGTTTCTAGATCCTAAAGAATTTAGGTAGACTATGATATAGGAGAGTCTTTCAGCATTTGAGCAAAAAATAGTTAACAACATTGATTTAATTAAAATAAAAGAAATTTAACAATAGTTAAATATACTAAATTAACTTTTTGAATTAATTACTCTTAAAAAAAGAAGATTATTTATATATTCATGGTAAATGATATGTTATGTATTTTTTAGGAATGAATTAATGAAAAACCGGTATTACCTTCATTAATATGCGTTGAATATGCTTAATAATTGTATTATAAATTGCAAACTTATAAAGTTTTTATGAAAGATATTTATGGTTTAGAATAAAGATGTTATTCAATTAATATAAAAGAGATTCAATATGTTAATAAGCTCTTGAATTAGTTAAAATTGTAATTTATAAATATATAAATCATAGCCTGGAAAATATGAAAGAAAAGGAGCCCAAGAAGGAAATGTTACTTTAATTTTATAAGGCATTCCAATAGAGATTCTAACCATGTTAGTTTATTAATAAAATATATGAGAACGGATCTTGATCTAGAAGCAATGGAGTAGTACTAAATTTAAAAAATATTATTTCTAGGAAAAGCGAAGAAACATAAGAGTAGGAATGAGATACCTGTCAAATAGGATGACTAATTTGGATGAAGGAAAGGTAATAAAACAATTTTCACGAGAATACATCGAATTCAAATTGGTTTTTTATGAAATTGAATAAATGAAAGATGTATTCTACATCTGAAAAACAAGTTTGATATGAAATAAAAAGGAGGATTTTACTAAATTGGAAATTAGAGGTGAGATATTTTATATTAAAGATCAACAATTTTAAGCATTAAGTTTATTCTCTATGCTTTACAAGAGAAATAAGTTATTATATTTGGAGATTCACTAACATTGTATTATCATTTCGCTTCATTAAAGAATGTGACCTAATATGAGATTTCCAATAGTATATTATACTATTGGGATTATTAACTGAGGAATATTCCTTTAAGATGAACTAAAATAACTCTACCTGTCTTATTCACTTTCTAATTCTGATTTAGTCTAATATTCTATTAATCACTATTTTATAATTACATATGATTCTAATTAATCTTTTTTTTATTTAAATCAGAATTATTATGTTTTTACAATTCTTCTGAATATTTCTGAGACCTTTTGGTAATTTCTAATTTGACGAAAAAACTCATCTCATCCTTAATTTAATCTAATGATGTATGATTACGTGTTAAACGGAATATGTTTAATCCAATTAATAAATATTAATGTGCTTTTATAAAATCAATAAGAGGAGTAAATCTAATTTAGGAGTGTAAATATTCCCCTATTTATAATTGTTATTAGATAATGAGCTCTTAGTATCTTTATTAAAGATCTTGAATAAATTTTTTAATAGGATAAATTTTTAAGGTTAGAGTAAAGAGAATCTAAAGTGACTATCTTTGTTATAATGCTGTAAAATTCAAGAATTAAATTTCTCTATTTAGTGAAATATAAAAGAAGGCATTATTAAACTTTTGCAAATGGAGTCTTAAATTTATTTTATATTTTCTCCTAAAGTCTAAATCTGTATTTCTTTTCGGATATCTTTCCTCTTATATAGTATGTTACTATAAATGTCTCTGTATTTTTATCCTTTTATACAGCTAACAAATTATTGTAAAATTTTTGATTATCACTAGCCCTTTTCACTAATTTAACATTTTTTTAATTACTCCAATTCATTTTTCACTTTAGTCTTCATTCAGACTATAATTTAAACAATAGTTCCTAGCCAATATATTATATTATCTTAGATCAACATAATTAGTTCTGAAGTTCATCAACGCACTATTAGTTATGAATGTATTTTAGCCAAACCACATTTTTCTAAATTTCTCTAACAGAGATTTCGGATTGAAATTCTATACAAATCAAAGTCAACAATTTAATTTAGTACTGGAAAACTGTTTTAATGATATCAGTCTTGTACGTCTTCCATTTTTCTTTCATTTATTTCTGGGGCTAAATTTTTAATTCATTCCTAATTATATGATATATTATTTAGTTGTTATAAATTTATCTGAATAGCTTCAATTATTTATACTAATCTAAGACTTCTGATATTCTTAATCTATGATACATCCCAATTATCTTACTAATTCTTCTTTTTCTATCTATTTTAGTAATTCTTCTTATTAATCTAATATTGCCTATAAAGCTAGACTAGTTAAATTAAAACAACTAAAATTCTTCTCTCTTTTTCTTTTACAAATAATTTTATGCTTCATATTAGAATTTAATAAGGTTTTACATTTTTATTATAAACTTCTCCAAAATAGACTATTTGCATTTTATAAAGCCATATAAATAGAAAAGATTTAAGCGTAAAATTAATTTTGACTATAGAATTAAAGGAAAAAGAATATTAATAAGCAATTTTAGATAATACAAACAAATTAAAATAGGAATTTAATCAAAATTTAACTTAAAAACAATCAGAATTAAAAGAAGCATTAAGTAAACTTGATTAAATTAATAAATTTAAATTAGAATAAGAATAATAAAATAAAATGGAATTAGAAAAAGTATATTTATAATCAATTTATTATATTATTTTTAGATTCAATAATACAACAAATCATTATAATTTTCAAATACTTATAAACATAATAGTTGTTAAGTAAGTGAAGGTGGAAAACTTGTGGCAGATGTTAATAATGGTAGTTGTTCTTGTTATTGTCTTTGTGAATAAGCAATTCCAAAGACTGGAAAAATATAGTTTGCATTTTAAATACTTAGTGGATCATATTTTTATGTTGGAATAGGATTTAGAGACATTATGTAGAAATATAATTACCAAAGTTGTTATTAAACTGGGTATGGGTATATAATTATATTATAATAGAACTTATTTAATAAAGCAAAATGGTAATACTTATTCTCATCATAACAAAGATTTATAATCAAAATAATTATCATTTGTATTTACAAATAATGATATCATTATAATTGAAGTATGTATTGAAAATAAATACATTAAATGGAGTAAATAGAATAATCCATTACTCGCATATGTTGTTGTAAATATGATATCGATTATTAGTAGTTGGATATAGATACATCATAAGAATTATATCCATGTGTGGGTGTTAATAATTCTAAAATAAAATTATTGGATAATATATCAGTTTGATGATGAATAATATAAAATATATATAAACATATTGATTTATCATTCAAAATAATTAAATAACAGAAGTGAAGTAATTTTATTTTTAATAACAGTAGATTATAAATATGATTGCAATTATATAGGAACACTCTATATAATATTATGATACTGCTTAAAATCAAGAAATCATCAGAGAAATAACAATATATATTTTAGGTATTCACGATATCAACCCATTTTTTTATCCATTCAAATCATAAAATCCAAACAAACTTAAAATTTATGTGAATTAAAAAATTTTTATTTGAATTTTCTAAGAAAATAAATTACGGTGAGAGTATTGAGAAATTGGTTGCTTTTGTGTTCTTTAAAGAGATAAAGATTGAATTCGTTAAAAAAATTTCTTCTTAATTTTATCATCAGATAACATTTTTGAGTACTTTGTCTTAATTTTTAATGCGAAAGTAAAATGTCCAAGTACCAAAACATATTTCTATAAATGATTATAAGCTATAAGTGAGAAAGATTGATAAAATAAGACTTATTCCAAATTAATATATAGGGTTACTATTATCCGGTTAGGACTTCTGAGTTAACAAAACCAAAAATATTTATTCTTATTACAAATATTAATCACTATAATTTAAATATCACATAACTTCTTCTAATTTACTTATATTAGAAAAAATTAATGCTCAAACCCCATGAAATCTGGAGTAACCAGGAAAGAGGATTAATGTATGTAAACTGATAGTCGAGGCTTGTCGTCGAAAGGGGCTATGAGAGATTGGGTATTCTAGGCTCCTTGTACAGCCACTGAGGAGGCATCTACCCTTGTTGCCTAAGAAATAAGGACAGTTGGATTGGTGGTGCGTCCCTTAAATGTTCTAGAAACCTCCGCTCTTGTCTAATAGAGTTATAGTCTAGACTACACTTACGGGGCGGTGAGCCGACATGTGCTCGACTTTCCGTGAGGTGGATTTGAAAGATGAAATTCGATCTTCTAGGATTCTCTTTTTCAGTAATTTTTATTGCCATTCAATAAAATTAATACATCATCAATGACGTTGCTTACAAGGGAGCCACTATGAAATCACAGATATTTTTTAATAAAAACCGTTCCAATAATTATTATTACCTAAAATGTTCAAATAATTAAGTGAATACCGTAATCAACACCCCACTACTATCTAAAAATAATTAATAGATTATTTTTTGAGAAAAATGAAGTAGATGAAGAACAAACAACCTAAATAATTATGGAAATTCAGATAGTGCAAAATAAGAAGATATATCAAGGTATAAAAGCTATATAATTCCTGTTAGAAAGCTTTATTGCAATTTTAGTTTGAAATGATAACAAAATTAATAATATGGAAAACTGTAAAGTGATAAACTATTGTGCTTAGAAAATGGTCCAGAGAAATCATATAAGGAGTTAATAATTGATTGAAATGAGAAATTAATAAAAGTAACCCTTTGTAATTTATTAAAACTTTCTCAAAAGATTTAAAGTATAATAATATTATTTTATTCAGAAGCCATTATGATTAATAATAGAAAAAGTAAATAATTTGAGTTTTTGGTTTGATTATCAAAGCTATTAGTATGTAAAGAAATCTTCTTTCTAGTCAAAGAATTAAAAACACTAATATTGTTAAATGAGACTATTACCGAGTTATTCTACAAATACTATAGTTTTAATATGATAACATAATTAAGTGATTTTTAAAAGTAACAATTAATGATTTTTTTATTTATGAAACAAACAAATACTTTTTTTTATTTTCAAATATTTGCATTCAAAGCATGAAATACTTTTCTAAATATAGTATTAAAGTGATTACTATTATTCATAAATTTAGCTAGAATAATATTAAATTTATGTTAATTTAATTCAATAAAAAATTCCATTATTAAAGGCTAGCTCAATCCATTTTAAAGAAATTAGAATAATTGTTTTACTTTCATAAATGAATAAAATTATTAAAATAAAAAAATGTATCAATAGTTGGAATAAATATGAATAAAAATAAATCATCCATCTTCCTAGGAAAAGGAGGGAAAGAAAGACCAGAAAGAAAAGTTAATAAATTTACTAATGTAGAGATTATAGTAGGGGAAAGGTGAATCTGAAGTTTTTTTTTCAAAGAATAAAAAAAATTCCTAAGATTCCATCTTTAAAAGAAAGAACTCCATAGGTCTCAAGAATAGGATAATACATAAAAATTAAACTCGAACTTTTTGATGGCTTAAAGGCATTAGGAACTAGGTATCTGGGACAAGGGCAAGCGAATGAAGACATAACTAAAGAAATATTGTAGTAATAATGACGTTTAACTTCTTAAAATGAAGTGAGATCATTTTAGTGACAATAAATAAAGTCAAAATTCGTCTAATGTATGTTTGACAGAAAAGTAGAAAAACTAATCTGAAAATTAATTTATTGGATTTAATGTAAACCTTAAAAGCAAGTTACCAATAATAATTTCATTTAATAGTGTGCTCAAAATTATAAAAGTACTTTATTATGATTAATGATTTTCTCAAAATAATAAAAATATAATTATCCTAGTAAAACTTACAGTAAATTTAATTGAGGCGAGATTTATCAAAAATAAAATTAATAGCAATTATTACAATGTTAATTATCTGAACAATAAATTCAACGTAGTATTTTTTTTTAATATTAATAATTGATTTATTAGAACATTAATATCTTTTCATTTCCAATTTAAATATTCTATAAGAATTATGGTTGGAATACTTAATCGAAATTTTATTATAAAAAAACATTAGATATTCTATATTCTAATAATTTTTGCCCCGAAGATTTTAATCAAAATTTAATTAGATTTGCGTCTATCAAGACTTTACACAGTTTATTATTACACATTCTTATTGAAATAATATTAAACATTATAAAGTAGAATGAAAGATATCTAAAATCCCTAATGATGCATAAAATATAAGTTTTGTGTAATTTATTATTCCATAATGTATTCGTTTTTTTTTAAGGATATAGACTCTTGTTTATTCTTAAATATATATATATCATTCTTTTAGACACTATGATTAATCCATTAAAATTTATATTGGATATATGAAAAATATATTGGACTATGATACTGAGCTTCATAAATTAATTAATAGTTGATGGCCTTTAATAGATTTATTATTAAAATACAGGCAACCGAGTAATGAAATATTAAAAAAATAGAAAAATATGATATAATATTTATCTAGATATTGGCTTTATTTTTAATTAATTAAACGATTTAATTTTATAACAACAAAGACTTCAAAATTGTTAATCATGTTTGGTCAAATTATTTTAATGCAAAATATTGTATAATTATTATATATGCAGATGAATTATGAAGCAATTCAAAAAGGTAGCATTAATAAATATAGTTCTAATATTTTAGAAATAAAATAATTTTTCTACACATAGAGTTTATTTAGACAAGCAAGTATTATTCATATAATAGTTCCAAATATCATTATATATACTCGTTAAGGCATGTTAGAATTTATAACAATTCTATTTGAAATAAAAATTTTACTTAATATTTATCATTAAATAATATTAATTTGATTAAATAAATTTGCTGTTTATTCTTACATAAAACAATTTCAATTATTGAATATATTTATAGATTGGAGTGATTTAAAAATAATCTTACTAAATAAAGATTAGTAATAGCTCTACTTAACTTGAGCTTAATCATCTGCAATGAAAATGCCCCTTATCATTTAGTTTATAGTTCATTTTTCAAATATTTTTTCTTTAATTATCTAAGTACTAAAAAGCATTATATCCAAATATGAGTAAAAAATAAAAATTGTTTTTTTAATATTATTAAATAAAATAGAAATTGAAATAATAAAATGTTTACATTAGAAATTGATAATCCATAATATATAAATTTAATCCTAAATCATAATCAAAAATGGATAAATTAAATTTTTATTTAATATCATGTTCAAATTAAATATAAAAATTACTTATATATACATTTCTTAAATTTAAGATGTGTTTTGAAATATACATTTAATTTACCAAGCCACGATGCGGTTATTTAGATGAAGGGTATTTAATAAATGTAGTTCAATAGTTTTTCAAAAACCCTATAGATGGCTTCAAAGTCTAGATATGAAAAGTTCTGAATCTAGCAAAAGGGAATAAATAGTAAGGTTTCTTCTATTTAAGTTAAGTTAAGATATGAGGTTATGATTTACTCGGATCTTCTCTCTCAAATTTGTTTAATAGTCCTTTAAATGTATTATTCCCCTTGAAAATTTTTAAATCAAATTTAATATGTAGATAGTCTTTCAATCTAATTAAGAGAAATCAAAAGGATATCCCTTATTTTTATTTTATAATAAAATATGTTAATAGTCAAATTTTTTTTTAAAAGAGAGTAGCAATTTGGTCCAAATATAAAGTGAAAGTTTTAGAGATATTTAAAAAAAATCTTCATTTTATATAATTAAATAAGCTTTAAAAAATATTAGGGATCAATTGAGGAGCTTTTTTAACATTATTCTTCTTGAGTAGAGCATATTAAATAGGTTTTTTACTGAAATTCATAAAAATTTTCCTGTTGTCAAAACGATATAAACCTATAGATTATCAATGTTATCAATATTTGGTAGAACATAAAACCAGCAATTACAATTTGGTGTCAAGCTAACACTAGAATTAGACTAACAAATTTGCATTGTATTTTCAATATTTTTTAATTGTTGATTAAGAGTTCTAATCTCTGTTGTATATATAATATTTGATAAAGATATTCTAAATACAGCCATAACATAGTATTTTTCATTTACTGTGTTTGAAAAAAAGAACGAAGGAATCTTCCTTTTTATCTGTTTAATCACTCAATAATTAAAATTATGAAATCAGATCTCTGTTAGATTAGTTCTGTGATTCAAACAATATTTTTCTGTTTCTTCTGTCTTTTGAGCTTTAGAATTTGACTAAACTAAAATTGCGGAGTTAATCAATCATCTCATTGGTTATTAGATTCTCGGTCTGTGATGAGCATTTTAAGGATTTGAAATTTATCACTTAAAGGGATAAATCTATCTCATTGCCTATGAAAATGTTGGATTTTGATAGCATTATATATATTTTGATTAAGTTACATTAATATTCATTGCATTCATTTTACATATCAAGGCCTTTGAAAAAAGTTTTAATTTAAGTGATATCAACCTAAAAATGATACCTTCATTAATACAATTAACTCAAAAAATCAGCCAAGATGTATGTAAAAATCAAGTGCAAGATATAATCCGTATATCATTATTAATAAATTAAATTCTATATCTTCTCTATTATAATTATCTTTTCATCTCATTAGGAATTTCTATTGATGATTGGATCCAGTTATTTTTAAATCTTCTAAAGAAGCCGTAAACAATAAATAATTATTTATTTTCTGATATTTTCATTAAATTTAAGAATTGAGAATCAAAAGATAATATCCCTTTTATAAGAGACTGCAACAATAAATTATTATTATTTGAAGAAGTAAATAGTGTTAACTGAATATCTAAGCATTTAAATATATTTTGATTTATTATTTAAATTGAATCCTTTTATATGATTTATGGCAATAGTATGACAGTATTTATATGTTGTAGATTTTCGTCCAATTAAATTTCTTTTATTATAAAATATAAAAATGATAAAATTATCAAACATTCTTAATAATTAAATTTTTTAAGTATACTATATATATTAAAATTAGTGATATTTTGTAAGTTTAATTGTAATCATGACATGAATCATTTTTTACATTCTCTCAATATAACCAAAAATGTTTGATAGGACACTTTTCAATTAAATTTAGATCAAATAAGTTTATATTAAAAGGATTATGGGGTTAATAAAGTATTTTCAATAGCTAATTTTCAACTTGTAAATGCAACAAATATTCCATAATAGGATTCTGTTTCTTACTATTTTATTAATTTTTTTTATTCACAAACTCTCTATAAAAATCAAAGAAAAAGTAAATTATTGTTAGAAATCAAAATTGAAATAATTGATGAGATTAAAAAGTATAGATCTGAAACAAGAATGTTGATTTTAGGGAAAAATTACTACTAAATATATTGTATCATAAGATATAAATGAATTTAATTTTCATATTGATTCCATATATATTATTAATTAAAATTAAATTACCTTAAAATTGGATATTATAGTAGCTCGTTGAATTACATTTGTAATCTTGAATTTAACACTCTAGCCAAGAACTTTCTGCCAAAGCTTACTCAATTTTCATGGATGCTTAAAATCAATATTCAACAGAAGGCTCGCTTGAGAAAAAATCATACCATATACAATATCTAAACCGCGGAGTCTTTTCATAATTCACATCTTGGTTTTATAGAGAATAATTCTAATTGAATTTCTTTTTAATTAACACTTTAGATTCTTTAAAAAGTTTATCATGTAAGCTACTGGATTGTTATTAAATATCATGACAATTAAAATATATTTACTTATATCTACCTTATCCATTTATAGAGTTATCAATTTCTCTTATAATTACTATTTATCTTTAGCAAGTAATTCATTCTATAATGATCCCATGACTTTGTAAGCTTCTTATTAGTTTATCAATTTCTTTTTGCCATTTTTTGAAACAGCAATATTATTAGATGCCTCCTAGTCAATTTCACTCACATTCAGTGTTTGCCAATTTGAATAAATCTTTTGATAGTTGAATCAAGTATTACTGCTACTTGATTACAGGTATAAATATCTTTTCAATATGATCATAGAGTTCATAGAAATTCATTCTTATCATTTATTATAAGATAGAATTATTCTAAAGATTTAGATATGACAAATTTCAATTTATAGACTTATCAAAATCTTTTATATTTTCCATAATGAAATTTAAATTATTCAATTCAAAAATGGACTTAGAATGAAAAAATGAAAGTCGAAGTTATTTATTGAAATATTCTTTTGTTTTAATCTAAAATACAATTTGTTAACAATATTTTATTTAATTTTCTATAGATATCTATCAACTACAAATTTTAACCTATCTTAAAATTGTGGTTTATCAGTAAATATTTATAATTTTTAATCCTTAATTCAATCAACTCAACATCTACAATATTTTCTTATCCAATAGATATTTAATAATTTTTAATTTTCTATTAGATTAAATTTTAGTTTTATTCTTTCATATACTCTTAACTTCTCTTGATTATTTTATTCGCTCTTATCACATTTCCAAAAACTTGAGTTTTCTATTTACTTTATAATAAATTGATAACGCCAATAACTTACATATTCAGTATCAATATAAGATTTGAGTAAATAATTATTAGAATCAATTATATTTATTAAGTTATAATCCATTGTTGTTTGGGATCATTGGAACAAAAAATATATTAAAACCTTTGATTAANCAACCAGAAATAAAGTTATTTGTCTTTTTGCTATAAACCAAACAATAAATAGGATTATTATGTTCTGTATAAGTATTAGATAATTTAAATCTTCCTTATTCAAAATTCCAAATGTTAATACTCCAAATTTCAGTTGTAATCATAATTGATCCATCTTTATTAAACACTATTGCATAACATTATAAATGCTATTAATTTGAATCATCAAGTAATTTAAATTCAACTTATTTATTCTTCATCAATTATTATTCCAATTACTTCTATTCATTCTCAACTTAAATCATTTCCTTTTATGTATCAGGTTGTTTAATTTACTGATTTTAAGAATCAATATCTTTTTTAAAAATATTTTCTCCTTGATCAGATTCAACCTCTTCATCGATAATTTTCTATTCAAAGTTATTTTTGGTTAACTGTTATTCTTTAATTCGAATTCTATTTTTGATAATCTTATTAACCATAGGCTTCAAATTCTCCATAATTTGTTATGAGTAATCAAATTTTGAGCTAGAAAATTCAGGAAATTAAGGTAATTCAAGTTGTGATTCCAATTTATTAGTCCCTTATCTAAAGGGAATAAGAAGAATAGAGTCAATTAGTTCATCAATCTGCGCGAAAGAAGACTAGAAAATAAAAGAAGTTGAAAATTACTTCTATTTGACACTCTATTTCCAAGAAGCCTTCTTCAATTTTAGACATTGTGTATTGGATGATTTATGATGAAGATGATTGTTGAGCTTGCATTTATTTATATGATATTTTAATTATGTTTATAATAATTGGATAGAATTATAATTTATACCACCTCCTAATTTATATAATAAGAAATTTTGAGATTGCTATTGAATCTAATTACGAAGCTATGTGATTTGCTTCATGCTCAAAGTTACAGTTGAGAATCAAACCTTATATGGTTCTTTGTAATTTCATAAATAAAAAACTAAATGCTTAATATAACTTAATGATGTTTATAGAATTTAGTATTATGTTAGTTTTCATAGTATGAGATATTGCCACAAACATGACGATTCTAAATTGCTATATATAAGGATACTTTCTTATTAATAATTGAGAGGAGTGTAAGGTTGAAAATTTATTATTTAGTAATAAATTAGATTTTTTGATAAATATTGAGTTCGAATAATGTTCAGAGTTTTCCATTTTTTAAACTAAATTATTGGATAAAATAATAAAAGCAAGTTTATAGAATTTATTAATTCCTTCAATAAAGATGCTATATACAGTCATCTTTTTTTTTAATCAAGTATGCATTTATTAATTAATTAAAAAAGTTATTCTTGTACATTTATACAAAAATTTCCATATCACTTTTGCTTTAAATTATTATTTAATATAGAGTTTAATACTATGCTTAAGGGGATCAGTAATGAGGAGACGATATATAAAATTATATATTTATAATTTTGTAAATTGTAGCATATTAAAGACAATAAATAATTAATAAATTGATTGCCTATCATAGTGAAGCAAATGTTGATATCAAAAATACGAATAGAGACTTTAATGGAATTAGAATACAATTAGTTATAATCAGAAAATAGTTAGATAGAATAAAGTTAGAAGATTTTAAAAATTAACTTAAAAAGCCTAAAATAGTAGAAGATTATAAAATGAATTACTTATTGAAAGTAAATTAAAAAGATTACTTATTAAATGTTTATTATATATTTGATAGTATTAATTAAGATTCTCATTAACAGGTTTAAGTTTGAATATATAGGATTTTATATTCTGAACTTTCATCAGATATAATTAATGATAATTTTTTTAGAAGGATAATTTAATTATTTTCTACCTATATATGAGATCAAATAAAATGTAACTGAATTAAAATAATTTATTATTTTGCATTCACTCAAACAATTTATGGATATTGTTGCAAGGGATGACAATGTTGGATAACTATAAAAAAAGTAAAGGTCGTCTTTAGAAAGAAAACAAAAATCAAGATAGGGTTATATTGAATAAATATTGAACTAATATTAAATTCAATCATATTCAAATGGAAAAAGTTCATAAGATATTTTAATTGAATCTTTTAAAGTAAAAGGAAAATTTTTTAAAGTCAAAATTAAAGAAAGCAAAGTGATATTTCACTTCAAGGAGATATTTGAAAAGGCCACTTTATTCAAATAATTGGTCTTTAGTGCATAACATCATAAGGTTCATTTGAATATTTCACATCTTATATATAACACATATCATATTCTTAATTAAATGAGTGAAATAAGTTTAAAGTATATGTATAAGTTTGAGTATTATGTGCAAAATATTCATTCGAAAATCAATCTACATTTATACTAGCTATTCATTAAAGCGATTATATTTAAGCATTTGTCTCAGCAAAATTAAACTATAAAAGTTTGATTTTATTATCATAATCAACTTTGCTCATAATCAACTTTGCTCATAATCAACTTTGCTCCAACACTGAGATTCTTTAGTAGGAAAATTTTGAAAGCCACAAAAATTCTTCTTTATAAGTAGCCAATGAGACAGAATAAGCCTTGCAAATTTTTCTTCCTCAATCTAATTAAGTACATCAATCCACTATGGTTGACGGTTTGAGTTGACTTTGCAATATCTATTCAGACTGACTAATATTCTATAATATTAATAGTAATTACTGTGATTAAATTATGATCATTGATTATTTTTTAACGATCATGAAATTCCTAACTCATTCTTTAAAAAGACTACTGCCTAATTTTAGATAATAAATTATTAAAGGGAAAATATAGTTATATATCTAAGTATCAAATTTATTACTCTTTCAATATTCACTTATTTATAGCGAATATAGTCATAACTTTTTAATTGATACAAGCCTAATGTTAATATGGATATATATTAGTTACTTTTTAATGTTGTTGACCATTAAACATTTACTATTTGATAGACAGGCTTTAACTAAAGATTGCTTAAGAGTTATTCTTTAATAGAACTTAATTAAAGAATTTCATAAATAACACTTTTTGAAATTTTGCCTTAACATAAGAGCAATAATTTGCTCAGCAGTATGTTCAATGATTATATTCTTACAATTTTATTTATTTCTTAAATTTAAAGTTTTAAATTAACTTTTTCACTACAAAACAGTTTATTATTAGTTAAGAATTGATACCTATCTTCCCATATTTTTAAATTAGAATTATTATTCAGTATACTTCTCCAATTAAACCTTAGTTAAGAGTTATCATTTAAGTTCAGATATCTATTCTCTTATAATTGGAACAATTATTAACTTTAGAGACTCAATAATAGAATATTTCAATTCAAACTTGATCAAGTGACTATATCCATAAACATGAGTCTTCTAAGGAACCCTATACATTAGGGACTATTAATTTTGAAATATTCCTTATTAAATTATATATAAAACTACTTTATTTATATCTTT